TCTGTTCCTGGATGAGCAGTCAGGTCAGCTCTTCAAAGTTAGACCAAAGCTCTGAAGATGAAAGACACCGCGGCTCCCAAAGCCAAACCCAGGGACAAAAAGAAGGCCATGATGGCTCCTGCTGTTTCAGCTTCATGAGGAAGAACATTTCTGTCGAACAACAAAGTCTCATCAGCTCAGATTCACCACAAAATACTTTTGATGAAACATTCAAATACAATGCTTGTTGGCAGATGAGTCATTATTCATGTATTTGAGGTTCTACTGGAGTAAAGGTCTCCACAGCTCTCTGATCTCTTACTTTGGGCCGTAGCACATGCACAGGCTGGCCAGGTATCCGTTACTGAAGGCGAAGAGCACCATGAAAACGATGAAGAAGCCGTCGTGATGGAAGTAGACGGGCAGGTTGAAACGAGGCTGGACATTACACAACATGAAGAGGGGGATGAAGACCACGCGACACAGGATGGAAACGGGAAGAATCACGCTTTCTTTGCTGGGCTGGAAACAATAACAACTGATCAGTTCATCAGCCAGTTCATCCTTTAGTTGAACAACCAAAGGCCGAATCTGAAGTGGTCTGAGCGGCTACTCACCCACATGCAGACGGCGGTTAGGCTCCGCCCACCCCAGTCACACAGGTTAAAGAGCAAGAAGCAGCTGACTGGGATGAAGTACAGCTCTGGGAATCACACACACAGACAACTCAGAAACTCTCAGAAACCCCCTTCCAAAGCCCTCATTTTGGAGCAGAATAAAAACAGGTGGACGGTAAGCACACAGACTGCTGACCGACCGATCCCTCTGGGATTATTAAAGTATTTCTGATTCAGATTCTGACCCCAGGAGCTGCTGCCGCTGAGGCTGGACCGGGTGTCGGCGGTGATGGCTGGAAATGTGCCGATGGTGACAGTGAAGGTGAAGCAGACGGAAAGAGCCAACACCCAGATCTGAGGGTCCAGACACAAAAGGAAGGGTTCAACTGCAGATACTGTGTAACATGCTGGAAAATCAGCCTCCAGTACATTAAGATGTTTAAACCCGACTCCAGAGGAGTTTGGACAGTGTGTGGATCAGAAATAGACGCCACGTTTCGGCTGGTCATACACACTACACACACTCATGGGCTGGTAACACAATAGCCCTGCTTTTCCATGTTCTTGCTGATTGTGTATTTTTTGTTGGTCCTGGTTGCAGGCCCTTCCCTGGTGTCCCCACTGAGATTTTGGTCAAATCATACAGATGTACCAGCTACGTCTCTCTGTCCATTCCCTCCTTCTCGTGGCTTCCCCCTGCCTTTGTCTGTCATTGTTAGCATTAATATGTACACACATCTTAGCAGAAAAAAAGAAAATCAACAAGGGATGGATATAAAAAGCAAGTAAAGCAAATGTTTGGCTAAGCTATGGCAGCCAGAGCACCGTTCTGCAGACACTAGGGGGGCAAAAAGTCCAATTTGGGTCTGAAAACTTCCTGTATGGTCAGTCTTTTACCAGAACCTGACAAAACTCATTTCAAAACTAGTTTCTTGATATCTTATTCTGATATTTTGTCTGGAGTTTATGACCTTCTTAAATATCTTCATCATTGAGATATCATGCTGTCTCCACTGATCATCTGCTGTATCTTTAGTGTCTGAAAAGAACAACAAAAGTTCAGCCAGTCAGCAGGAAAGAGTTCAAGCGCCACACAAACTGAAGTGTGCATCCAAACATGGTGAATACCTTTGTTTACCAGACTGACTGAGGTCTGTTCATCTTCGGATGGCTGCTTCTTGTTTTTTTCCTGATAAAACTGGTAAAACTCCTGAAAACACAAATGCATGAACACATGACACCATGTGGAGAAGAGAGAACAACCCAACCCAAGCCATTGGTTTAAAGCCCCTTCGTTTAGCAGGTCAGATTAGCCGTGTTAGCGGGTCTATTGGGGTGGGTCCAGTCCACTACTTTCTGAGCTATAGCCTGGGGTGCATTACATGTTTCCATCAGGGTGCCTCCCTTCCAGTACAAGTCTGACTTCATAGCTTGTGCTTTCTCTCTTTTTTCTAGGAGCACACACCCCTGACCATGTGACCTGGCTACTGCTCCACCAGCTAGAAAGGCCCCGTGATCCTCTCTCTCCTCTCAGATTCCTCCATGGCTGCCTGAAAACACCCAGCGCCGCCTACAGAGGGTTCTGGGTCTGAGGCAGCTGGCCAGTCCCAGTCCTGGGCCAGCTGGGCTCAGGGAGTTAAAGTTTGAGTTTACCATTTTGGGCAGCAGGATGTAGGAGAGCACAGACAGGAAAATGACACCACAGGCTGTGATGAAGTAACCGAAGGCTGCGTCCTGCATTTCAGACCCACCTGGAGAACAGAGGTGCAGAAATGGCTTGATATAACATTTGATCTTGGATGTCTACTTTTCTGAAATATTATTGAGTGATTGGTGATCAGACTTGCGATGGCGCAGATCATAGCGAAGGCTGCGAAGGTTCCAGCGAGTCCCTGACCACTCATGATGGGGGTGGTGTAGAGAGCAGGCAACAATCCCGCCATCCCGAACAGACTGCCCTGCAGCACCGCCCCGAAGGCTGCCAACAAACAGACAAACAGGTAAACAGACCAAACTAACCCTGTCCTGTAGGAGAAGAACATATCTAACTGTCAACATATTATCAATCACAACTATCTAACTATCAAGGCTGACTGTCAGTTCACATCGGTGTTGGGTCAGATCTCAGCAGAATAACAGATCTGTTGGCCCATCAGACTCAACTGGAACCCTAACCCCATACTTAACCCTAACCCTAACCTAACCCCAACCCCAATCCTAACCCCAACCCCAACCCCCTAACCCTAACCCCAACCCTAAACCAGACATTTGGCTGATCAATCAGTCTGTTGGCATAAATAGAGCTTTTAAACTTTCTGTTAGATGTCATTATTACATTTTTTTTGGTGTGTCACATCCCAACATTGGATCATTTTTGGGTGTTAGATGCCAACATTCTGGTGTTTTGGGTGTTAAAACCCTACATTTAAATGTAATTTCAGTCTGAATTTGCTGTCAGGGAGATCATCAGGACCGAACCGAGGAAACACACGGAGCTGTCTGCGAACATTCAACCAGAAACTCTGGACGTCAGCAGCCATGGTGATAAAACAAAGACACTAAAATAGCTGAATTTCTGATCAGCATGATGAGCTCACTCCGTATTTGTCGATTCAAAGGAAACAAACAAACAAACAATCAGGGACTCACAATTGATAATGATGATTTTCACCATGGTCACACAGAAGAAGGCCAGCGGCTCCAGATGGACTTTGACCAGGATGGCGGTGAGGACGAAGACGAACATGATGACAATCAGGCTGCCCATCACACGAAGGCGCTGAGAAACACTGACACAATGAAGGGAGAGCTGTAATATTTGGCTAAAAGGTTGATAAACAACAAGCATTTCACTTATCATAAGTTAAACCGCACAGGAAGTGAAAGCTGTTCAATGATTCATTAAATGTGATTAGGGGTAAGGGTTAGGGTTAGAGGTAAGGGTTAGGGGTAAAGGTTAGGGGTTAGGGGTAAGGGTTAGGGTTAGAGGTAAGGGTTAGGGGTATAGGTAAGAGTTAGGGGTAGGGGTAAAGGTTAGGGTTAGAGGTAAGGGTTAGGGGTATAGGTAAGAGTTAGGGGTAGGGGTAAGGGTTAGGGTTAGAGGTAAGGGTTAGGGTTAGAGGTAAGGGTTAGGGTTAGGGGTTAGGCCACACAGAAATTAATAGTCAAACTCACATTCCCCCTTATCAAGAATCAGCCTAATCTGCATGTTTTTGGTTCTAACTTTAACCCAAAGAACCAACATGCACACGGGGGAAAACGTTCTAACCCCAATCTGCAGTGGAGTAGCTCTTTCCTGTAATGTATGCCCCACACAAAATGTGGCCAGCTAGTTATTTTATTTCTGCAATTTTTGGGGGACTTAAGCCCTAACCGTAACCCTTGGGAGCAACCTTATGGATCAATTAACCCTAACCCTAACCCTAATGCAGCAGTGCAGCACACATGGGCCAACAGGTGGCAGTAGTGGGACATTTATGGGACTAGTAGCACAACTCCTCTGTGGAGAAATGCTCCATTCATTCATAACCGTAACCCATTCATTCATTCATTCAGATGAGAGCCACCAGCAGGACATTCTTCCTCCTGTTAGAAGAACCTACTGGAATCTCTCTGCAGATCACCACCCCAATGCATCAAATATTCTTTGTCATTCTTCTTCTTTAAACTGGCTTTCTCAAAACAATTTGGCACAAACGTATCGATAACTTTGACATCCATCCATCATCCAGACCTCCATCCCTTCCTCTGTTCAGGTCCGGCTGGGCGTCCTGAGCCCTCCAGGACCCTCAAAACCTCAATGATCTGACTGCTCAACCCCCACTGTGTTCATCCGCCTTCAAGCTAAAAAATGTCTCTGACATGAAACTCAGGCTTAAACAATGCTGCAAATTTGACTCAAGACTGAAAAAACTCTTAAACTTCAGGACACAACAGGTTACTATGTTATCATTAAAGCTTGTGGAACCAGCTTGAGAGGCTGATTTCAGCTGTGTGAGGTCATTCTGCTGGCCTGCTGGCCTCTTATTTCTGTGCCCAGAGGCCTGAGGTGTGGGGGGCTAGGAGGTTTGGGCTGGAATGGGAGGACTCCCCAGTGTTTTCCTGTGAAGGGGCTCACAGTGAATGCAGGAAGGAGGTGAGGCAGGTGCACAGCAGCAGCGGCAGCATTGCACACAGCGTCATCACGTTGTTAAATTTGGCCTCCAGGACGCTGCGCTGGTCACCTGCTGCCTCGGTCTGGTTGACCGATGGAGAGTCTTTCAGACGGCTGGTGAAGTACTGCAAAATAACAAGACAGAATAAAAGCCTGCAGCAGAAAAACAACCAAAAACAAAACACTGAGTGCACAACAAGAGGCAATGTGATCATTTTGATGCTTTAGTCAGGCCCAGGGATGGTGTCTGCTACTGAAAAGAAAGGAGGCTGTAATGGCCACTGAACTCTTTCTTTACACATCGGAAATGTTTATTTCTAAATTGTGTGTTCTATGTTTATTATTCTCACTTGGACAGATGAAAATAAACAAGTGTCAAACAAATGTCAAAATATTAGTTTTTCATTTAGTTGCGTATACATTCTTCACATTTAGAGTCTGTCCAAAGAAAGCCAAAACCTCACGTTTGCTTTCTTAAATATTCAGGCTTGTGGCTTTAAAATACAACTGGCCTAATAATTGTGCCCAGACTGTACAGGTGCAAATGTTCCTGTCAGGCAAAGGAAGGTGGGCAGGCTCTGAACCCGAACCTAGACCGGACTGGTTTGTACAGGTGAATGTGAAACCAGGACGTGTTCAGCTGCTGCTGTCTGATTGTGGATCTGGTGATAAAAGAGGTGGCTGGGCGTGAATCACATGGTGTGTGGACAGAAACATTCAGGAACTACGTCACACCGCTGTGGCTGTCATGAAGAAGTTCCAGGGCAGCAGAGTCCCCAGTCCCAGCATGAAGAAGATCAGCCACACGCCAAAGTACCTGCAGGAGGACATTCAGGAAGCCCGGGTTAGGTTAGGGTTAGGGCTAGGTTCGGGTTAGGATGAGCCGGGCTGCTGGCGTTTCAGTGTCTGCACACTGAGGCCCTCACTGGGGATCGGGTTAGGGTTAGGTCAGGGTTAGGTTGAGGCTGAGGCCCTCACTGGGGATCGGGTTAGGGTTAGGTCAGGGTTAGGCTGAGGCCCTCACTGGGGATCGGGTTAGGGTTAGGTCAGGGTTAGGCTGAGGCCCTCACTGGGGATCGGGTTAGGGTTAGGTCAGGGTTAGGTTGAGGCTGAGGCCCTCACTGGGGATCGGGTTATCTTTGAGCTGCAGGCAGCGTCTTATCTTCATGCAGCAGCTCCATGAAAATGTCAGTTAACACAAGTTTGGTGGGTAAAAACATCCTGCAGCTTAAGAACGGCAAATTTATTCTAACCAAGCTTCTGTGTTGGAATACTAGCTGATCAATCAATCAATTAAACAATCAATCACCCTGAAAGTCAACACTAAACTCAGATTATGCCAAAAATCTTCAAACTTTAATCAGGGAGTTAATTATTAATTTATCGATATATGAATGATGAGCGTCTATCATCAGATTTTAGTGATTTTTTTTACTCACTTGTCTTTCGGTGAACTGGGAGACATTTTCCTCGTAGGAAGTATTCAGATCAAAGAACTGATGCGCTGATGGGTGAAGGAAGAAGTGGACTGGGGGATCAGTTGGGGTCTCTTTCAGGGTCTGGAGGAGGAGCTGTTTGAATTGGGTTTAGAGCCAGTGAGAGCGACAGAGGGAGGGTTTAGTGTTTCTGTCTGAAAGGTTTCACTGGTGGCAGCAAAGAGGCCACAAAGTCTGCAGGGAGCATTCAAATCAATTGCATTCAAAACATTTGGTAAATGTTTTTTATAATGTGGGACACCATATCGATTTGAATGGGAAAGATCAGAAACAATGTTTTTTGTGTGTAATTTGTGATTCTTGTTGAATTGCAGTCGTATTAAAAGCTTTGCCAGCTGGCAGAAGCTGATCTCCAGAAAAAACAGTGTGTGGTTTCTACTTCATACCAATGACCGAATGCACACGTCTGAACACGTGGACCCGCCCCATCCCACACAATGCTCTCAGAGACGGTGAAAATAGAAAAACGAGCTGACTTCTGTTTTCACGGATGAGAGTGTGAACACACTGTCCCTGAGTCATGTAGCGGCTGAAGATATTTACAAATATCACAGCTCCTTCTGTAGTCCCTCTACCTCTACCTCTATCTCACCACTGACTCTGATCAGGGTTTCTCCTCTGGATAGCTTATTGTCATAGTGTTGAGAAATGGAATATTGTGTCTACTCTGTAAGTCTCTTTGGAGAAAAGCGTCTGCAAAATGCATAAACATAAACATAAACAAAGGAAAAGTACACGGTGGTGCATCTCAGTGTCGGGGCCACGCAGAGGCATTCAATCATTAAGAACTTCAGAAGTAATAACAAATTTAACCTTTTTGCTGTCATACTGATGATCGAACAGTAAATGAAAATTAACAAAGCCAAGAATAAACAAAAGTGTGAAGGAGAGCAGCTGGTTTACCTCTAACAGCCGTCTGGATATTTCCAGGAGTTCAGATCAAGCCTCAGGTTTTCTTATCTGAAAGAGAGAGTTTGTTGATTCTTCAGAGTAAATCCTTTAACTTCGCTGTTGCTTGTTGAGAAATCTCTCTTCCTCTGAGTCACACTCCTTCCTCAGAAATCTTCCTCCTGTCGTGCTGCAGTCTCAGCAGAATCGGTTCTTCTGTAGCGGTGACCTTTGACCTTTAACCTGTGAGTCAGTCTGCTCAGTGGACTTTGATTCTGTGTAAATAACAGGGATATGATAACAGAACATCCCAGTGTCGTGTGAAAGAACTCAGAGGACTTTTCTGATATCATTCATTCGTCTGCCAGCAGAAACGTGTCGACACTGAGACTTACACTTGACTCAGACCTGCCTTTGTTTATTGACTCCTTTAGGGAAATTCAAGTTCCAGCAGCTTAACAGGAAAGAAGTGGCACACAGAGGACAAAAGAGAGAAAACGCTTCATTACACAATTAATACACAATTAAAAATGTATCAAAATATATAATCTATACTCTAAAACTAATCTTAACCTAATGAAATATAAAGTTAAAAAAACAAAATACCCCAAAAAATAAATCTCCTGAAAAACTACTGAAGTAAAAGTGACAAGTGATGTTAAATCAGATCAGGTTGTTGTTGCAGGTTTTATGCATTGTTGACTGTTTGATGTGTGATAACTGAACTGAGTTACCCTCATGGTGGAACTACACTGTACTAGATTAGAGTCCAAATCTTTTTGAGTCTCACACTGATCAATAACTGAGAGAAGTTAGGAAATGTTGTCACGATCCAACCGTTTGTCAGTCTGGACTTTAGTAGTGAAATACAATAATACAATACAGATAAAAAAGCATTTTTAGCATTAGAATGTTGTTCCAAGTATAAGCTTGATGAGAAGGTGTCTTTTTAGGGAGGAATTAAAAAGCTAAGTGATCCTGCAGACGGGATGTTCCAGGGCAGGTTATCCAGAGTCCGGACACCTCTGGTCTCAGGTCAGTTTTAGGGCCGAGCAACTGATGAAGGATCTCAGTGTTCTGGTGGAGGGTTAGCGAACAGGACCGGGGTTAGGACGAGGGTTAGGGATAGATAGATAGATAGATAGATAGATAGATAGATAGATAGATAGATAGATAGATAGATAGATAGATAG